AACTTTCTTAAGTTCGACACTAAAATGCTTTGATAAAACTTACTATTTAGCATCAATAAATCCCGTTTTCGACGGGCTTTCATCTGGTATAAAATTCATTACTTACCCTATTCGCAATTATAGCGTTCCCCCCCTGGAAAAACATTTTTACGCAACCTGTACACTAAAACTGTAGCTGCTCATCACAAGGTCTATCACGTCGTTCTAGCTGGCTACTATTTTCTTATAGAAACACTTCGAGTTTTTTTTTGCTTATTTATATCTCTCTAACTTTGTAATGGAAAAAATTTGAAAGGAAATACATTTAGAAAATAGATAGAAAGTTGATATCTAAAGAAAAATCTCTGCTGTTTGTGTCTTTAGATAAATTATTCTACTCCAAAATGTCTGATGTCAACGCTTCCACAACAACCACAGTCGGAGAACAAGGCACATCGACTGGTGGTGAACAATTCGAAATTGAACGTATTGTTGATAAACGTTTTCGTAATGGGCGATTAGAATATTTAATTAAATGGAGAGATTATTCTGAATCACAAAATACATGGGAACCAGGTAGCTACGACAAACTAAAACAATCAGCTACAAAATGACAAATATAATTCATTCTTTAGCTTCAAACATCGAACCAGATGAAGAAAGAGAATTATTATCGGAATATGAGGCAACGTCAAAATCCAAATCATCCACAACTCAAAAATTTTCACCGGCTGGATCTGCTAAAGATTTTCGTTTGAAACGTAAAAGCGTAGGTAGTGTGTGCTCCACAAATAGTTGTTTCTATTGTCTACTTTTCTTTCAGGATGATATGCTTGGTAAAAAAGGTGGTGCAGTTGGTAGTGAAAAACCAAGCGGTTTCGATCGTGGCTATGAACCAGGTAATCAGAAGTTCATATTTAAGTCTATCACACAAAATCACCTCTTGTTGTTTTCTTTTAGAAAAAATATTGGGTGCAACCGATAGTACTGGTGAATTAATGTTATTAGTAAAATGGCGTGGCTCCGATGAAGCTGATTTAGTTCCATCTCGAGTGGCTAATGCAAAATGTCCCGAATTAGTGATTGAGTTTTATGAACATCATTCATTTTGGATTAAATTACCAAGAAAATTACAAGCACGATAAATTTCTACATCATTATCCTTGATTAGTTTTTGTATATTTCTTATTTGTTATATTTTTGTCTGAAATAGTTTGGATGCATATAATATGTGCCTGCTATTTTTGTGTATATTTGCATATGGTTTCTACTAGAAAATAAAATGTTTAACCCCGTTGTACATGTTTCTTTGTACGATCCATTTTTTCGATTACATATACAAATTTTTTATGAGTTTTATTTCTTGATAAAAAGAAATCAAAAAATGTGTTGATACTTATATTACACGAGAATGATGGTTAACCAAACCACTGGTATTACAAACGGCTACAGATTTCTGCTTCCTTTCTGAGTATGACTGATCAAACTTTCAGGTAAGTGAAGAACACTCACTTAGTGTAATTGGTGAAGTACAACGTATGTTGATCATGCAGAAAAAACCCGAAAAAACTGGCATTTTATCTTCACTATGACAAGTGAATAAATGGTCGCAAGGGAACTCCATTTTGAACAGGCAGTCAAAATTTTGACTTTTCCTGAGGAGACACACAATTGCATCCAATATATACACTCTATCCAGTAGAAAAGAAATACCACTTCTTCCTGTTCTTTTGCGAGACAGGACGGATTGGATTTTGTTTGAGCATACAATTGATAGGTCCCATAGGTTCAAAGCCGAGCCAGTTTGGGAGGACCGCTCATACAGTCGCAGCTCTGAATACCGGAGATCGGTACTACACCGTCAGACACTCCCACATCCCCCAGCTTTCATACAAATTCGGAAACGGAACGGTTTACTACAGAGGCAGACAAAGAACAAACGCTTTTCACGAAGCAAATTCTAACGAGGGAACATATGTAAAGTGTCCCCTCGCTTTTTCAACAAAACCTAGTGGGTTATAGGTTATCGATGATGCTGATTCCGAATATGGATATGAGAGCTGCCCTTAGGGTTTCAAAAACCCGGTTTTCTGAAAAACCATTTTTTCAGAAATTCTGAAAAACAACCAAAGCTTTTCTTAATAAGCCATGCTTGTAGCCCGTACATTTCTGATTAAAATGAGACCTCTCCCAACTCTACACGACCTTTCTTTGCAAAGTTATAGAATTTACACGAAGAGCCCTAAATTAATTTCTTCTTATTTCTGTAGCTTCGAGTTGACAATGAATATTCAGGTCTTTTCTTGTAAATTCTATAACTTTGCAAAGAAAGGTCATGTAGAGTTGAAGAGGTCTCATTTTAATCAGAAATGTACGGGCTACAAGCATGGCTTATTAAGAAAAGCTTTGGTTGTTTTTCAGAGTTTCTGAAAAAATGGTTTTTCAGAAAACCGGGTTTTTGAAACCCTAAGGGCAGCTCTCATATCCATATTCGGAATCAGCATCATCGATAACCTATAACCCACTAGGTTTCCTTGAAAAAGCGTGTGGGCACTTACATCTGTTTCCTCGTAAGGGTGAAATAACACAAATAATATTTACATACAAACTAAAACGAAAGTCTTACATTGCATTGGACATGCAACAATTCAGGAATCTGAATGGGTTGGACTGGGCCGGTGAAAATCGGCCAATGGGTCATCTCGCCTCTAACGGGCCTAACCCATAGTGCGCTGGTCAAAAAGTTTTCAGCCTAAGCCAGTCTAGCCCAGCCCATGGGCCGTTCATCCAATAAAAATTTTTCTCAACACAGCGTCATTCGCCATGCTGATCGAGGTTACTACCCAGGTGGAAAATCTACGATTGTAAATTAATGTATACGGTGAAATATGACGAGAAACGAACGTCGTAAGTCTTGACCTGGCTACTTCTGGTAAGGGTAATTTACCCTAAAAACTTCGATTCTTTTAAAAAACAACCCATGGGCCGAACTACGTGGTCCATGGGCGCCATCGCACAGAGGCGTCAGCCCAGCCCAGCCCGGCTCATGATTTTCCTCTTCAAACCTGTAAACATTTACCTTATTCTGTCAGATAAGTGACAGTTTTGGTCATTTATAGTCGAGTTGATGATTACCTTTTTGGAGCACAAAACAGATCACATCAATTATCATTACTATGACTAATTTCTA